AGCTGGACGCCTGCGGCAACAAACACCGCGTGGATGGGGTGCTTGCTGGCTCCGGCCTCCATGTCGATGCTGTCCTGGGTGGCGATGTTGTCGTGCTCGGTGTCGCTGCCGTCGCTGCTGTTGCTGTTCGAGTAGTCCGAGACTGGGTTAATGTCCGCTTGCTCTGGCTCGACTTCGGATCCGCTGCTGCTACTGCTGCTGCTGCTGCTGCTTCTGCCGTCCGTGCTGTCCGCGTCAGCGTCGTCAGCTGCTGATTTTCCCTCGAGGAACTGCTTTGGAGCAAGTCCCTGCGCCACCAGGCGGCCGGGGCGGAGCTGAAGCAGGACCATGGTCTTCTCCAGGCCGCCCACTGTTATCGAGGGGACACCGTGGTACTCGCGAAGGTTCCTCGCTGCAGCCTTGTACAGCAGAGGGTTCGACTCTCCCATCCGCTTGCAGCTGGGCTTGTTCGTCACGAACGCTGTCATGCTGATGTCGTTGTTGTTGTTCTTGTTGTTGTCCGNAGAGAGGGCGAGGGGGCGTGTACGATTACCGGATGCGGCGTAACCTCTTCTAGTAGATGAGAAGATCGCCATTCGGCAGGTTCTTTTGGAGTCTGGGAACCGTTCTTGGTTCTTCGGGAACGAATTGCGAACTTCTTGGTTACCCGCCCGCGACTGTTCCTGCTCTTCTTTTTCACTATGCCCGACGCCATACGTAACTCAACGAATCCATATCAAAGCGTTGCTGATTTATCCACAGCAGTGTAGAGGCCGAGAACAAATACAGCAGACAGCAGACAGTGCGGGTGGTCTTCGTGAGATGAAGTAAGTGTATTGCGTGAAGAAATGCAATAGAGTCTACCTGGAACACATAGACTAGTCTACATGTACTTGAAGTGTAGAACGTGATCGATAATTCGGGTGGCTCGATTCTTTGTGGTTGGAGCTCAAAGCGGGTNTATCCACAGCAGTGTAGAGGCCGAGAACAAATACAGCAGACAGCAGACAGTGCGGGTGGTCTTCGTGAGATGAAGTAAGTGTATTGCGTGAAGAAATGCAATAGAGTCTACCTGGAACACATAGACTAGTCTACATGTACTTGAAGTGTAGAACGTGATCGATAATTCGGGTGGCTCGATTCTTTGTGGTTGGAGCTCAAAGCGGGTGGCTCATGGCGGAGCGTGGATGGGTAGAAACGTGTTG